TATTCTATCATTCAATTCTTTCTGTCACTAGGGATCGGAATGTCATGTCCAGCATACTAGAAAAGACTAAAAATTACTTGTTACTGCAAAATAGTTTGATAAAACCTAGAGAGACACCACTTTCACAGCCTCCCTGCCCCATAGCAACTACAATAATCGGTAGTGGTTATGGTTCATGGAGTGCCTCTAATTCCTCTTTATATGTGTCCTCTTAGGATGCCTGAGGTTCTCATTCCAACATAACCCTTACAGCATCATGTTCGCTGAGATAAACCATACTTCTTCTGCAGGCTGCAGCTCTAATTCATCTATCAAATAACAATGGCATGTAACAGGTGGCTCCATTTGTTGCTGTTACAGTTGTCGTGGTGGCTAGTGACGGGAATAGATATCTCCTTGCAGAGCTGCTGTTTACTGTATCACATGTAGTACAGGTGCAAAAATAGTCAATGCTTTAAATTCTCAAGCTGAGACAATAGACAGCTGTCTTAGCACATGTGAAACAGGTTTAATTTTTATTACAGCAAATGTAGTAACGCTTTTGCCGTTGGGTATGAAATCCTGCAGAGAAAGGTTCATCTTTCGTATACTTAATCTGCATTTTTTTTACTAGAATTCACCATCCAGAAATCAATGAATCTGTTTTTTGTTCCCCTCGATTAATAGCTTGGCCTTGTTAAGGGGTTTATGCTATATATAGATAATATAAAATTTTGCACTACTATATGTTTATGTTGTATTGAAAATGTAATTTTACATATGTACCACTGCATTTACCTTTGCATTTCTTGTGCACTGTGTTTTTTCCTGTCTCCAAATAAAAAAAAAAATTGTGTGAAAATCACAGTGAGAAGCGCCTCTAGCGGCTGTCAATGAGACATCCACTAGAGGCTGGATTAACCCTAATGTAAACATAGCCAAATGTAAAGTATTACCAGTATCAGTGTCATTTTACCAGTATCAGTGTCATTTTACTTGAACAACATTGGCTGGCTGAGAGTGCTGGGGGCAGGTTAGTTATGTTTTCTTCTGCTTTAATTTATTGTACATGTTCTCTGGCACATATCTGAGAAGAAAAAGTGCACTCTTTGAGTAAGACCCTCTATGAACAAATCAATATAACTTTTTGTTCTCTAGAGACATAGAATGCAGAGGAATGCATGTATAGATTTGGCCTTTTATTCTCAGTTAGTTTTGTTTCAGTTTCGTGACTTTGTTTTGTAGAACAAAATATCAGGTAAAAGGCACAATCGAATGCCAGATCTATAACGTGATTTAAAACATCTTGTGACTATTTGTAAGTATGGCCACAAAAAAGATTTGAAATAATTAGTGTACCAGATGCAGAAACTAATTGTTTAACATTTGACCTATATTTGTTGCTGTGACCCCTGTATTCAGCTGCCATATTTTGTCTTATCGCTGTGTACACAGTGGGTCTCTGACTAGACCTGATAAAACCTTCGAGGCTCTTCTTGTTTCTTTTTTTCGCCTCTTCTGATTTTTTTCCCCCTCCGTCCTGTTTTATGCTTTGTATTTACATTTTTGAGTTTTTCAAGCAAACAAAATGCAAATGTTAACAGTGGTTTGCGTTCACACAACGCGCACTAATTATTTTCAGTTACTGCGTTCTGCTGATTTGCATGCTGGGAGTTTATAACTCAGCTGAAGCGTCAGTAGGGCCTCTATCAGTTTGCGTATATAACACGTGGATTGTGCGAGAAAGATTCTTAAATCTGTGCATGTCACAAATTCTGGCTACTGCAAAACAATTTCAAATAGTATTTATTCTCTAAACTGGAACATGTGCGCAGTTGACATGGGATGTGCTAATATTAGACCTAGATTCACAAACTTTAAAAATAACGGAGATGAAGAATTTTGTGGGCATGCGCACACTTTTTGTTTCTTCATTATTATTGTTTTGTTCATTCTGCTACTTTATCTGTTATAAAAGCACAAACGCTGATTCTGTCCAAGTTCTCCTGGCAATAACCTATAATGTGCGTTCCCCTGGTAGACGTAGAGCTTATCTCTGGAAACAGCAGGGGAAACGGAAGAGACATGGGCTGGCAGCATGATAATGTAAACTATAGCTGAGTAGTAATTAGAGGAAAAGGGAAACTCTAAGGTGGAAAAGGTCAATTAAAAATAATTCCATTACCTATTAAAGGATAGTGAAGCACTGTGTCTTCTTTTTACATTGTACATTGAACATATTGCACCTATATCAGATAAAGACCAATATTATAGTCTGATGTTGATATCCGATCAATAATGTTTTTCTGACTTTCGGCTAATATTGCCTGACAGTTACCTAATCAATCGCAATCCAATGCTCGTGATCCATTTTCAATAAACATTTTACTTTGCTTTACTCATTAATGGGTATGATAGGCTGAAATGAGTAGGTTAATGACAAAAATAAAAATGATACTCTTGCAGACTTTCTATTACAAGATTGAAAGTAACAGACAGCCAAGTGTGCATTGATTATGATAATAAAAGACAGGTCTGTCACTAATCGGCAAGTTCCATGGGGACATTGTAGTGTGTGTAATTTTTTTTTTAGGTACCTAAACGTACATATCATGTATTATACACAGGAGCTTGGTTTCAGCTTGTTTTACACTGTAATGTAAACCAAAACTAAATTAATAAAGCCACACTTTCTATCCATTCCTCTCCTTTGATGGTCATCACTTCGAGGAGAAATAGTTTTCTCCACTACAGGTCCCATCATTCTTTTAGCCTAAGTCAGAGGGAAATAATGTCAGCCTCCAATGATAATGGAATAAAGGGCAACAGAAATATATATATAAATTAACAGCCACTTCATTTTTAATTGATCTCTTTGAGAAACATAACCCCCAACATTGGCATCCTGAGAAGCGGGACGTCGATGGGAGGGAGGTTGAAGGCGGCACAGTGATCCTTTTGCCCAAAGGTAGCAGGTCTGCCCAAATCAAGCATGCCAGCCTATTGAGGGCAAGGTGCAAGGATTCAGTGCTCTCTGCAGGGTCCCAGTGCCTGGAGTGTAGTGTGAGCGCGTCTAATGATGTGCTGCACTACACTTTTTGGGGGCAGGTCGCTGGTGTCCCCAAAATCAGGATACCAGGGAACAAAGACAGGACCCTGAAATCTGCACCTTTCCATCTAAATCAGGTATGTTGGGAAGCATGGAATAGGCTTACAAGAAGAAATGATGCAGTATTAGCACACACCTTATATTACAGCAGTGTTAGATCAAGTATGTGATGATATTCTCCAATTTCTTGGAGCTTTGTGGCTTATTTCTTTGTACTTCGGAGCATTTCTTGACCTTCCATATGCAAACTGACGACATTTAATATTTAACAATCAACTTACACATTTTAAACAAAGCTGCTAGGTGAGCTACTGCAAATCATTTCATAAATGAAAGTAAATATAGTTATTTACAACATTCAAGTATGTGAAGTAATTGTACAGTAAGCAAACATATTAACGTATGTTCTTTTAACTTTTGGATTCAGGGTCCTTACTTTAGAAATACAAAAAATTAAGAAAACACATCTTTTATCCAGTCGTGGTATTTGCCCCCCTCCCCCCACCCTCCTTGACTGTGAGATTCATAGAGAAGTATTGGGGACCTTCAGCACATGCACTGAAATCGCCATACTCCACTAAATGTATACTTCTCATAGTGAATGTCAAGACCTTAAATTGTTTAACGTGTTAAAGGAATACTTTAATGTTAGGAATACAAACCTATATTCCTAACGCTATAGTAATCATGTCCTATTTATTTTAGTTCCCCTTCCCCATTGGTGAGTAAAGGGTTAAAAAACCTTTTTAACTTACCTTAATTCCAGCGCCGAGGCTTCCTTAGCACTGGCTAGGTCTCCTTCTCTTGCAGCATGGTTAAGGGGACACTGCACCCAGACCACTTCATTAAGATGAATTGGTCTGGGTACCTGTGGTGCCATTTAGTGAGGAAGTGCATTTTGTGTGTTTTCTGACAAGTGTAAGCATTTCTGAGAAATAGCAATATTTATATTTGTTAGACTGACAAAATATTTGCACCAAAACCATTACATTAAGATGTAGTGGTTTTAGTGCTTTGAATGTTCCTTTAATGTATGTGGTACAACTCAGATGTGATTGCGTTGGCCTTCTGTCATTTGTTTACTTTCATTATTTTACTAATGATCCTTCGTTTGCTACATTTGCTGTTGTGTGCATATCTTTCCTTGTGATATTCTCCTGTAATATGATCTACAGGAACGGTGTAAAACCATATCTCTGACAAGAAGTCCAGCCATGGAAAAAAAATGTTTCATATAAAGAAAAGGCCAATCTGTGTTATGACAGAGAAAAAAAACCACAGTACTAGATTGAGAAAAATAAAAATCCCAAATATTCAGCTGAGCAGCAACTGCTCTAAGCCATAGGCTTAGCCACTCTGTAAAAATAATTTTTGCATTAATGTGACTGCAAATAACAATAGTGGTTATGGTGATTCAGGACTGATGATACTGAGTACATATTCAACAACAAAAAAATAATTTGTTATGGGTTTTCAATGTGGAGTACAGTGATTTAAGAAAATAAAAATAAAAGATCACTGGCTGTCTATAATACTAAACCCTTAAATGAACACTATAACGTTAGGAATAAAAACCCTGTATTCCTAATGTCAGTGTGTGCTCTTCTTCCTAGTATTATTAGGTTCAACCACCACCCCCTTTCTGGCACTGAAAAGGGTTAAAACTCCTTGTTCCCTGCGCCAAAGCTCCCGAAGCTCATAGAGGAGCCTTAGGGATCTAATGTGCATGCGCGGTGAGTGCCATGCATGCAATAAATGCTTTCCTATTGGCTTTCAGCTTGAATGAGTTTTGCTCTGAAGAAGAAACGAGAAATGAGTATGACAGCCACAAATTTTGGTTTTTAAGAAACTGCAATGTTTACATAGCAGGCTTAAGCAGAAATGAGTATGACAGCCACAAATTTTGGTTTTTAAGAAACTGCAATGTTTACAGGCAGCAGACCCTCCCTCCCAGACCCTCCCACCTCCTGGACAGCATCCGTTTTACATTCATTGTGAAGCTGCATTCTTAGTGAGCTGTCCAGGAGGTGGGAGGGTCTGGGAGGGAGGGTCTGCTGCTATGTAAACATTGCAGTTTCTTAAAAACCAAAATCTTTTACATTGCAGGGTTTAGGGGACAGGGACACTACATCCAGACAATGAGATGAAGTGGTCTGGGTGACTATAATGTTCCTTTAAAGCAGAGGTTCTCAACCTTGCCCTCAAGGACCCCCTACCAGTCCAGGGTTTAGGGATTACCTGGGTGTGTCTAAGGTGTTTAGAAAAAGAAAAAAAAAACACCTTAGAGTCTAAGGTTTTTTTTTCTTCTCTTTTTCTAAACACCTTAGACACACCCAGGTAATCCCCAAATCCTGGACTGGTAGGGGGTCCTGAGGACTGGGTTGAGAACCTCTGCTTTAAAGGAACATTCCAATATTAAACTTGATAGATTTATTTTTTATTGAAAACGTTTTTCAAAATACGATACACATCAACCCTTGCATTTTGTAGTACACATCAGTTATTGCATTTTGTGAAGTCAGTATAATGTTATATATCGCATTCAGTGTCGATGACCAAAATTCATGGATACATTGTTGAAAAGGAGTAATAGAACATTTTTAATGTTTGAAGATTTCCTTTACTCTCCAAATACTAGCTGCTTCACATAAGTTAAAATAATATTTGTGCTTACCTTTATCCCCAGCTCTCCACTCTGCACCCTGTTTATAGTAAAAACCAATTGGGATCTTTGACAAAAATTGTCCCCTATTATTAATATCAACATGGACAGCAGTCACGGCTGTGAACACGGGGCTATCATTGAGAATGAAGCTTAACCCACACACAATACAATTTAAAATGTGCAGTGTGATGAATCCCGATAAAGTGAGTGTGGAATAACTCACGGCTGGAATTGTAGGGAGGAAACCGAAAATACCATTCAATAGAAGACTGTAGATTTAACATAGAAAAATTGTGCACTCCAGTGGGAGAAATGAATTGCCCTCTTGTAAGAATTTTTTTCAAAGATTGTAACTTAGCACATTTCATCCTTGATGGAAACTTTGTCAAAGGCTCTAGTTTTGCCCACTTTATGAAGTTACAGCAATTTAGAAAGCAGGAATCTATCAGAAACTTTCCAATAGAGGATAAAATATTTTTGACATTTATTTTTGCAATATCAGAACATTTTGATCAACTTCTTACCTATTGAAGTTCACTATTAGCTGCCTGGCATTGAAGCTACTTCCTTTTATACACAATATTTTCACAATGTTCACCTTTTCTATAGACAATTGATGGACTAGTGATGTCCTGAACTGTTCGCCGAATGGTTCGCCATGGACGGCGAACATATGCGCTGTTCGGTCCGCCCCCTATGTCATCATTGAGTAAACTTTGACCCTGTACCTCACAGTCAGCAGACACATTCCAGCCAATCAGCAGCAGACCCTCCCTCCCAGACCCTCCACCTCCTGGACAGCTCACTAAGAATGCAGCTTCACAATGAATGTAAAATGGATGCTGTCCAGGAGGTGGGAGGGTCTGGGAGGGAGGGTCTGCTGCTGATTGGCTGGAATGTGTCTGCTGACTGTGAGGTACAGGGTCAAAGTTTACTCAATAATGACGAATAGGGGGCGGACCGAACAGCGCATATGTTCGCCATCCGTGGCGAACCGTTCGGCGAACCGTTCGGGACATCACTATTGATGGAGTGTTTTGGGTCTATATGGACCATTTTTACTGTTCTACCAGAACGTTACCTATGTTCCACTTTCTCTATGAATAGTTGAATCACAGAAATCAGTTATGTTGCAATAGTAGAATACCTCAATACCAGATCTGCCGTGTATGACGCCAAGCAAGAACTTGACTGGACCAACAGGACCAGCTGCTAATGATTTTATGTTGCATCGGCACTAAAGAAGCCTGTAATTATATGTTTGTTCTTAAACTCATAAAACCAAGCCCTTTATAGCCTAGATATATGTGAAAAGCATTTCTTCAAGTATAACTTATATATGCATATAAGGAAATAAATGACACTAATTGCGTATCATCTTATTTTTATAAATATCAGTAGCACCTTGGTTTGTGCTCACAGCAACTATTTGCACAGCCTCTTTTTGTTCTGTTCATCTTATTTTTAGTAATACGGTACTTATGTGTTCCACAATGCTTCAAAATGACAGTATTTACTTGTCTCTGTGGTTTGTACTAACGGATTGTTTATCTATACTATGTTATTCTATACGATGCTATATTATTATAATGTACTTTACTTGCTTGCTTATGTGGATCTGTGAAACTGTGACTCCTTGTGTATCATTAAAGGTCACTATAGTCACATAGGCAACTTTATCTCGATGAAGTGGTCTGGATTCCATCTTCCTGTCCCCTTAAAGGGACACTATTGGCACCCAGACCACTTCATATTATTGAAGTGGTCTGGGTGTAGTGTCCTGTCCTCTGAGCCCTACAATGTAAAACATTGCAGTTTCAGAGAAACTGTCCAACATCTTCAAAATCCCCATAGGAGGGGGTGGAGACTGACTGCCATGCAGAGAAGTCCTATCAACCCTGAGCTCCTAGCAAACATCTGACTTTAAAGCTTTTTTGACATTTATTTGCCGGGCTACCTGGGCTTTATACTTATCTTATGCTTTAGTGATCTTGTGGGTGCAGAGTTTCTCTAAGTACTTTTGGCTGTTGGGCAGTTCTGTGACCTAGGTGGTGGCGTGTCGACAGGGAGGAGGCTGATCTTTCCCACGTGAAACTTCCTTGAAACTTCAGTGGAACTCCTACTATCCCCCCCCCCCCGCTGCAGTATACTCACTAAATATATATTGACCTGGCGAATGCCTCAGTGAGCAACATACAGGGCACCATCAGAGTAAGCAGAACGATACTCTACCTCCACCTCTGAGTGTCTCACGTTCAGTGGGTGATTATGCCCACGAGACAGCACTCATTGAAACTTCTCCAGATTTTGGCAATGTTGGCAACTACTTCCCCAGCTACAATGGAGAGTCCGCCTCCCATACCGTTTTTTCCTTCAGGTCGGGAGACCATAAGTTTGGATCAATCTGGCAGTCAGCAACTCCTCGGTGCTGTTGTGGTCCTCACGGCACGTGGGTCTCAGTCGACATATACCTACCACCCGGCATCGGTCACCACTTGGGCTTCCAGCCTCCAGCTTTCCTGTTGCCTAATAATGTACTTGTGCCTGGAGGGAATTTGCTGATCAGTGCCTTGTGACCCTATAGCATTAGAAATATAGTTTTGGTTTCCTTTTAACCTGCAGTGTAAAACATACCGACAGCTATCAGCCACAGACTAATAAAAACACAATCAGGTGATGCAGAAGCCCCATAGGTAAGCATTGATTCAATGCTTGAATGTGCGCGTGGTGCTTGCCACACATACGCATTAGGTCCCCAATGCTCCTCTCAATTGTTGTGGGAAGACGCCTTACATATATCATTTACAACCCAGGACTGGGATAAAATGGTGACATTTACGCACCTTAGCTCTTGATGTACAAAATACCAGGAAATTAATTATACAATACTTACCCATTGGTATGACATACAGCAGAAAATCCAGAGGTGTCGGAAATTTGTTGGCAGTGCGAGGCAGGTGTGGGGTCTGTCCTTCACATTTTCAGGGAGTGTCCCCGCTTTGCACCTTACCGGAAGAAGGTCCATGAAGCGCTCCTAAAGGTGGCTGACGAGGGTGTGGCTTTTTACCCAGCTGACATTCTGCTTAACAGGTCCGCAATACCAGGGTCGAAGTATGAGAAAACAGTATCTCGGCATCTACTCACGGCAGTCGTTGATTCTGGCACTTTGGACTTGCTCCATAGAGTTGAGGAAATTCGCCAGGTCAAGGAGGGGGGTTGGAGGATGAGCTCTACTCTCCTGCCACTTTTCCCTCAACCCCCCCTCTTTTTTTTCTCCCTTTTCCTTCCTTCTTCTTTCTCTTTCTCTTTTCTACTTCTGTAAGTTTTCGTCTTCTTCTTGTCTCTGGTATAAGCATTTTGAATAGCTACTTGTACGCTTTTTCTATCTCCACAAAGCCGTAAAGGAGTGGAGACGGTAGTCGATGGTCGCAGCTTAAAGTGGAGGAGATACTTTACCCAGGTTAAACCCCGTAAATCAGAATTTTGTTATATGGAGCTGGGGAAGATCGGTTACTAGATGCGTTCAGAGAGTAATTAGCTATTTATTACATGATTTGATGACCAGGACTGCATGAGGGAGAAGATGTAGCGAGACAATGTAATCATGGGTGCCTATTAGCATACCTGGAAGTGCCTCTAGTGGGTGTCTGGTAGACAACCACTAGAAGTGAAGTTAACCCTGCCAGGTAATTCTTGAAGTTTCTCAATAACTGCAATAATTACAATTCCAAGGCTAAACTGACAGGGGCACTAAGCTGGAGTGGTGTGGGTGCCTATAGTGTCCCTTTAAGAATATGGTTGGGGTTTATTCACTAAATAGTTATTTATGCTGAACTGACAGACGATTCACAAATAATAGGCCAGGATCGTTGATATAGAAATATTCTGCAGCTCAGGTAACCTTGATAAAGCCGCTGAGAAATAGACCAAAGCATTGTGAGATGGTATGTAAACAGTCGCTTAGCAGATACCATGCATCATTTATTTAGAAGAAATGTTTTCTCATTGTGCAGACAGTGTATTCTTACAGCTGGGCTCCTGCACTGACATGTCACATGTCACTTTGGCATTTCTTACATACTCCCCCACTCTGTGATACATTCCTCTTAGCAGCACAGTCACTATGTTGAAGGGGGAAGTAAAAAGTATTTTCCTTTGGGTTCTTCCCTCTAATAAAATCTCTGTAATTTCCCTTCATCTCTGCAAAAAGTGAAAGCAAGACTGGAAACACTAAACTCCAGAGATCTTTCAATGACGTATGACACATTTACGTACTGTTCAGAAATACTCCCGACTCTACTTTTAGTCATAAACTCGTAGATAGTCTTATGAAACACTTTGACATTACCGTTTCATATAAACCATATGCCATTTGGTTTATGGTGACCAAACTTTGTGTTTGCAGAAGACAGTT